ATCATATGCCACCTCCTGAAGTTGCTGAACATTGAGCAATTCTTTTTGGTACAGTGATTCTGTGTATTCCTTCCATCTTCTGATGCTTCCTGTGTCATTCAATACTTTGCCAATAGAATCCTTAACACTGAACTCGAGGCTTGAATTTTTTCTTCAGTTCTTTCAGCTTGAGAAATGCCAAACATGCTCTTTCCTTTTGGTTTGGTAACTCCAGGTCTTTGCACATTTCATTATAATACTTTTCTTTTTCTTCTCAAGCCGCTCTTTGAAATCTTGTGTTCAGCTCATTTACTTCATCATTTCTTCCGTGAGCATTTTTTCCTGTGACTGTTCTTTCCTGATGACATGTGCAAAGTAAGTGAGTCAACGTCTCACCGTGTTTGTTTCTAAGAAAGATTCTGGAAGGAGAGGATGGGTAAATTGATGAAATAAACAGCTGCAGCGGCTCTAAACTGCTCTGAACCAGGGCAGGCGGTGGGGGAGAGGGTGTGGGATTCTGTTCTCCTAGAAGCAGCAGTCCCAATGCCAGTTACAAGACTCAATACAATCGACCGTTAACAAGTAATGGTATGTATGATTGATGAAATCACAATGTGATGCTCATTCCAGGCAGCTTAAATCACTCCAGGCCTATAGAAAACCTGATTGCCTACAAGGCAGAGGCACCAAATGCCCACTGATCAGTACACAGTGACCCCGGTAGTACGGAGCAAACCATCTGCCCACATCGTAAAGCCAGCTTTGCGTTTCCACAGAATCTCAGTCCCATTCACACATTCCAAGTTGCTTCAAGATAACAACTTGTCATATCTTGGAATTTTTTTCTCCCCTAGCTTCCCAGGCCATGCTAGAATGTTTCTAAACTTTTCTCAAGAGAAGGGGGACATGTGACCAAGTTATCAATCAAGTCAGTGAAAAGATGGGAAAAGCAAAGATCTGGACATACACAGTCCCTGACTCACCAGGAGGTCCTGCTCAAAAGGCCCAGATGTAAACTAATGGTTGGGAACTTTGAGATGCATTTTTTCCACAGAAATCCCATCACCTGTTTAACCAACAGATTGAGCTAAAATGTACCGACTGTGTACTATGGGCCTATTCCCTGCTGAGAGCTGAGCGTATTTGTCTCATTTCTGGGTACAGCAAACCTGTGATTGCTGTTGTTGTTAGGGGCCATCAAGTTGGTTCCGACTCATAATGACCCAACGTACAACAGAACGAAACACTGCCCGGTCCTGCGCCATCCTCACAATCATTGCTATGTTTGAGCCCATTGTTGTAGTCACTGTGTCAGTCCATCTCACTGAGGGTCTTCCTCTCTTTCACTGACCTTCTGCTTTACCAAGCGTGATGTCCTTTTCCAGGGATTGGTCCCTCCTGATAACACGTCCAAAGTACGTGAGATGAAGTCTCACTATCCTCGCTTCTAAGGAGCATTCTGGCTGTACTTCTTCCAAGACAGATTTGTTCGTTCTTCTGGCAGTCTATGGTACATTCAATATTCTTCACCAACACCATAATTCAAATGCATCAATTCTGTGGTTGTAGTCATGGCCGAGAGGTTAAGGCAACGGACTAGAAATCCACCGGGGTTTGCCCACACAGGCTTGAATCCTGCCAACTATGTCTAGAATTTTACCTGTGTTCAAACCTGTGTTTAGGCACTACCATTAACCCCGAGTTCATAGATAAAACTAAGGTTTGAAGGAATTCGAGTGGACCCCCAAACAGCCAATGGGATCTGGATTTGAACCTAGGCAGTTCAACTTCAGAGTGTAAGCTCTCAGTCAACTCAGCAATACCACCTCCCTCCCAGAAACAGGTTCATTCAAACTTAATCCATATTCCCAAGTCTTCTATGCAAAAATGAGGACTGTGTCCCATTCTGAGCTGCCAAGCCACCAAGCACTCCCCACAGGCCAGTAAGAAGCAGGAGGTTACCTGATGCTCAGAGGGCTGTGAGGTTTGTCCAGGGCCCTTCTGGAATAGGAGCGAGGAATGGGATCCTAGGTAGCTCTTGTGTATGTGAAATCAGAGCTGTCTGAGTCCTGTTTTCATAAACAAGTCCTACACCAGTTGGGGACCCCTTATCTTTCTAAATGAAGAAGTGTCCATAAACAGAATCATGCCACAGTAACTTAGACATGCACAGGACTTCCCCTCAGACAGCACAAAGGCTATTTGAGTGATAGCTTTAAAAATTTAAGTTTACTTTCATCATAACAATGCCTTGCATTTATCTCCCTACAGAGCCATAATGAAACTAATCCTTCCTCCAATCAACTTGGCCAATGATTAACAAATCAGGGTCAGATCAAGTTGTCATAAACCGGAGAGAATAATGAATAAAAACCAAAAAGCATTAATTCCACCTTGCTCCTCTGTGGGCAAAATAGAAAATATTTACTGCCAAGACTCACCTGAAGGAAATATTCGTTACCACTCAGCAGCTGGAGTGGACTCGTCCATGGGCTTACAGCAGGAACCAAGCAGAGCTGCGCCAAGATTTGTGGCATTTTTTAAAACACCCACATTCATTACTGGCCTTTCAGCAGTTCATCCGTGGCATCTCCAGATGTGGAAACCCTGTGCTCATGGATTCCATAAGCTTGAGAGTTGGTGGAAACCTTACAGATGATCCAAAAATCTAGATATGTCCTTGAAGCCCCTCTTTCATTCACCTCCCATATCTGATCCACCTGCAAGTCCCATTGGTCTGCCCCTCAAATATTTTCTGAATCTATGTATTTTCCCCAGGTCACTGCTGCCATCTTGGTTCTGGCCTACAACATCTTGGATCTGGCCACCAACATCTTGGTTTCCCTGCTTTTATTTTATCAGCCCCTCTCAAGGCCACAAATATACACTCTCCACATGTAATTCAAATGATGCCTACCCCTGTTGCAAGCTCTGCAACTAGTTTCTCCGGCACCTAGAATAAAATCCCAACTCCTTGCCAGTCCCACCTGGCCCCATGTGGTCTGGCCCGCCCTCCCATATCTCACACTCCCTTCCCTTTCACTCGCCAGGCTCCCACACACCCGCCTTCTCCTCATCTGTGAATACACCACATTCATTCCGTTGTGCACTAGTTGTTTGTTCTGACTGGAATACTCTCTCCTCTTATCTTTGCAAGACTGGCTCCTACATACCATTCTGTTCAACTGTCACTAACTCCAAAAGCTCTTCTCTGATCCTTTAATTTAAAGTATTTCAGAGAATCACATCACCGATGTCAAGGTTCTGCACAGCATTGTCACTGATATCGTCTTACGTCTTTACTTGTTTATTGTCTGTCTTCTCACACTAGAATGTCAGCTCTGTGAGAGCAGGGACCTTGTCTGTCTTCTTCATCCCATGTCCCAGTGCCTAGAACAGTGCTTGGCATATAGCAAGCTCTCAATAAATATATGTTGAATCCAAACCAAATCAGTTGCCATGGAGTCAGTTCCAACTCATGGTGACGCCATGTGTGTCAGAGTAGAACTGTGCTCCACAGGGTATTCAATAGCTGATTTTTCGGAAGTAGATCACCAGGCCTTTCTTCTGAGGCACCGCTGCATGAACTTGAACCACCAACCTTTAAGTTAGTAGCCAAACACTTAACCATTTACTCATTCCCATATTCATATGTTGAATATAGGAATGAGTAAACTCTTCAGTAAAGTGATCACACGGGTGTTTCTACTACTATACACCCTAGACATAGAACATGTTGTTGTTAGGTGCCGTTGAGTCAGTTCCGACTCATAGCGACCCTATAGGTCTGAGTAGAACTGCCCCATAGGGCTGCCAAGGAATAGCTGGTGGATTTGAACTGCTGACCTTTTGGTTAGCAGCCAAGCTCTTCACCGCTACACCACCAGGGCTCCAGATATAGAACATGGATGTCCTCTAAATGAGGGTCAGCAAACTTTCTCTGTAAGGGGTCAGATAGTAAATATTTTAGGCATTGCAGGCCATACGGTCTATGTCTCAACCACTCAACTCTGCAACTGTAGCGTGAAAGTAGTCACAGTCAATATGTAAATGAATGAGTGTGGCTGTGTTCCAATAAATGTTTATCTATGGACACGGAAATTTGAATTTCATAACATCTTCATGTGTCATAAAATCGTAATCTTATTTGATTTTTTAAAACTGTTTAAAAATGTAAAAAATACTCACACAACTTGAAGAATGTCATCAATGTCCCTAAATTGTACATGTAGAAACTGTTGAACTGGTGTATGTTTTGCTGTGTATATTCTCAACAATGACAACCAAATAAATAAAATTTAGAAAACGAAAGGTAAAAAATATCTGTAGCTCATGGGTGGTAGAAAAACAGGCAGCAACCCAGATATGTTCCACAGGCCACAGTTTGCACCTATGCTCTAAATTCATACCTATATATTGACAGATACAATAGACTGTTTTAAGAAAGAACAGTAGTAATAATAGTTAATCCTAAACCCTGTACTTAGCACTATAGCACAAGAGCCCTATACCTGACAAGGTATACAATGTATTACTCCCATTTGACAGATAAGGAAAACTGAAGCTCAGAGATATTAAGCTACTTACTTAAGGTGACACAGAACTAAGCAATAGCTGTAGAATTGGAACTCAGGCAGTCTGAGTTGCTTATGTTATTCTTTGACACTTTGCATAATAAAAATGATATTAACAAGAATGATATAAAAAAATTAAAAAATAATAAAATAAAAAGAATGATATTAATGATGAGCTAAAAATAATAGCTAACCAATATACCAGGAGCCATCTAAATCACTTTCTGTAGATCAGCTGGTACCTGTTCTGCACGACAATTCTATGAGGCAAAAATTAATTTCATGCACGTTTTACAGGTGAGGAAATACAGGTGTGAATGCCGTTCAGCTTGTAAGTGGCAGACACAAGAATGAAACCCAGGCTACCTGACTCCAAAGCCCATATTCCTGACCACGTCCTCCTCCTCTCCAAGGTTCTGAGCCCTGGTCCCTGCCCACTCCACTTACTGGCCACCTGCAGGCACACTCGGAACCATCGAGTCTCGTTCAGGACCTCCTGGCAGGTGTAGTTCCCCTGCTCCTGCAGGCTCAGCCCCTCAATGTGCAGAGAGGTGGCGTTCACGAGAGAGAAGCGCGGCTCGGCTGGTGGGAGGCTGGAATTGGAGGACAGGAGGAAGACAGGCTCCGAGTCCTTCCGGTACCAAGTCACCAGGCCCCTGGACCCTGAGATGTTGCCACACGGCAGAGTAACGTTCTCATGGACTTCTCCGATGATGACAACCTCCATTTCTGTACAAGGAAACATCAGGCTGTTACTACTTTTCTTGACCTCCAAATAAGGGATCAAGAAATAGTGCTTCTGCATTAATCCCTTACGTGAAATCCTGTAGTATTTGCATATAGCCGATGCACATCCTCCCATATAATTTAAATCATCTCTAGATTACTTATAATACCTAATAGAATGTAAATGCTATGTAAATAGTTGCTATACTGTATTGTTTAGAGAATAATGACAAGAAAAGTCTTTTTTTTTTTTTTTGGAATATTTTCAGTCCGGGTTGGTTGAATCCACAGGTGTGGAACGCACAGATACAGAAAGCCAACTATATGCCTTGCGAACAGTAACCAAAGGAAAGCTGGAGTGGCTATACTAATATGAGACAAAATTATACTAATGCCAGACAAAAACTCTTATGAGAGACAAGTGGGAATTATCCAACTAAAGATGAGGGGTGAAGTTCCCAGGCAGAGGGAATAGAATATTCAAAAGCCTGGAAGGAAGAGACCCGAAATCCAGAGGTTCGCAAAGTGTGGCCCTTGGACCTGCAGCAGCAGCATTGCCTGGGTACTTATTAGAAGTGCAAACTCTCAGGTCCCAGCCCAGATCCAGTAAATCAGAAACTCTGGGAGGAGGAGGCCAGCAGGGCAGCAGTTTGTTTTAACAAGCCCTCTTGGGGAATCTGATGCAGGCTAAAGTTTGAGAACCTCTGCTCTGGGAGGAGTATCTTAAGCTCTCATGAGCATATCAGAGTGAGCTGGCCTGACTGTTTTATGGCGTGCTGAAGACTAACAGTGCTAAGAGAACCAATCTAACAGAAGGACTGCTATCAAGGTAACAAGAAGCAAATGCAGCTCATTTTGCTGAGACGTATCACAATTTTCCAATACCCTCCCCATCAACGCCCAAATACAGAGAGACCACAGGAGCAGAAATAATAGGCAGAATCTGTTAGAAGTCTGACTCATGCTGTCACATTCAATAAATGAGAAAATGTGGCCCAAAGAAGGAAAGAGGCTGGCCCAAGGGAATGTAGCAGGGTAGGATTGGAATCTAGAGCTCCTGCTATTCTCTAATCACCATACCAGATGTTTTCAAAGTATGTGAAAATACTGGGGTTTGTGTAAGATGATAACTTCATTAAACAATCATCAGCCTTCAATAAATGGTGCTGGGACAACTGAGTAGCCACAGGCAAAAGAATGAGGTTGAATCCTTACCTTACACCATATGTAAAAATTAACTCAAAATGGATCAAAGACCTAAATATAAGAGCTAAAACTATAAAACTCATAGAAGAAAACAAAGGAGTAAATCTTTGTGATCTTGGCTTAGGCCAATATGTTTTTTTTTAGATATGATGCCAAAAACCACGGCAACAAAAGAAAAAACAAATAAATTGTACTATGTCAAAATTAAAAACTTCTGTGCTTCAAAGAACACCATCAAGAAAGTGAAAGGACAACCCACAGAACAGGAGAAAATATGTGCCAATCATATATCTGGTAAGAGACTTGTATCCAGAATACATAAAGAAATCTTACAGCTCAATAATAAAAAGACAAATAACACAATTTAAAATGGGCAAAGGATTTGAATAGCCATTTCTCTAAAACCAGATATACAAATGGCCAATAAGTACATGAAATGATGCTCAATAACATCATTAGAGAAATGAAAATCAAAACCACAATGAGATACCGATTCACATCCAGTAGGGCGGCTAAAATAAAAAAGACATAATAACAACTGTTGGTGAGGATGTGGAAAAATCGGAACCATTATACATTGCTTGTGGGAATATAAAATGGTGCAGCTGCTTTGGTGAAGAGTGTGGCAATTCCTCAAAATGTTAAACACAGAGTTATCAGCTGACCTTGTAACTCTACTCCTAGGTATAAACCAAAAGAAATAAAATCACATGCTCACTCAAAGACTTGTACACAAATGATCATAGTAGCATTATTCATAATAGCCAAAAAAAAAAATGGACACAACCAAAATGTCCATCAAGTGATGAATAATAAACAAATGTAGGTAGTCATGTCATGGAATGTTATTCGTCAATCAAAAAGGAATGAAAAAACTGACATATGCTACAACATGGATGAACTCTGAAAACATGATGTGAAAGAAGTCAGTCACAAAAGACCACATATTACATGATCCCATTTATAGGAAATGTTAGAATAGGCAAATCTATAGAGATAGAAAGTAGATTAGTGGTTGTCTAGGGTTAGGGGGTGGGGGAGGGATGGCTGCTAAAGGGTGTAGGGTTTCTTTTTGGAGTGATAAAAATGTTCTAGAATTAATTAGTAGTAATGGTTGCAGAACTTTGTGAATATACCAAAAACTACTGAAATGGAGACCCTAAAGTATGAATTTTATGGTAAGAAAATTATATCTCAATAAAGCTGTTATAAAAATAAGTCAACTGCCACTTGCCTCTGGGAACCCGCCCCCCATTTATGAAAAGGAAAAGTAACAGTTATCTGCATTTGGCCTCTCGTCTGGCTGCAAGGGGCTCCCTTTGAAAGATCTGAAGCCAGCCTGGATCCACAGGAAGTTCTCACTCTCTTGCCATCTTGGTCACATCATTCCCAAAGACTTTAGAGCCAGGCCAAGATGGAAAAAAAATCTGAGTCACTCGCTGAAAGGCTGAGAATGCCATCTAATGCTAGAAATACCAAATTAGGAAGAAATGCTTCTTGACAACCACTTAAAACAAAACAAAACAAACAAACAAAAAAAAACAGGTAGGGACTATTTTTAAATGATCAGGCCTGGGAACCCAAGTTCTCAGGTGGTAACCCCACTGAGGAAACTATGAACTGCAGAGCTATAAATTTAAGGTGTGTTCAGGAGACCTGCAGACCTATCCCTCCCCTGACTCCTTGGCAAAAGAATAAAGGAATGGTAGCTTGGAAAAGCCTTAGTGGGACTTTAGTCTTGGAACTTGGGCTAACATTGTCTTCTTCTCCAAGGAAGAGAATGATATAATCAGAAAAGAAATTGTTGTAAGCATTTCGCTGTTCCTCATGGCTTTGTTCACTCTATTCTTCTTAACTACTGAAGCTGAAGGTGACATTAGAGATCAATTAATCCAGAGACATGGCTGCCTGGAGTGCTGGATTTAAGACTGAGGTTGAGACTGGGCTCAAATGGAGAAGAACACAATCATCCATCAGTGATGTGTGACACAGACCAAAAAAACCAAACCTGTTGCCATTGAGGCGATTCCAACTCATAGCAACCCTATAAAATAGAGTAGAACTGCCCCATAGAGTTTCCAAGGAGCAGCTGGTGAATTTGAACTGCTGACCTTTTGGTTAACAGCTGTAGCTTTTAACCACTGCACCACCAGTGTTTCCTTGACACGGACAGGAAATAAGAAGTCCTTGCTGGTGCACGAGGTCCATTCCTCACAGTCTTACACCCCCTCATTTTACAGTTGAAAATTGAGGTTCAGGAAGCTTAAGTGATTTAGTTAAAGTCCCACGCAAGTCACTGGCAGAGCTGTGATTGTCATTCAGTTCTCTACAGGGATTTAATCTGTCCAGGCCACAGGGATTTAATCTGATCTCCCACACAATGGTGACAAGATAAGATGATAAACTGTAGTAACAGTTTGTGCTACTAGAAGTTGTCCATCTGGTGTCTACAAGGTGCCCTGATGTCCCCCAAATTTAAATTCAGAATATGGAATAAAGGACCATTTTCTTTCTTTTATTTTTGGTGGAATCCTAATGTGTTTTATTTGCATGGTTTGATTCTTATGGCACAATAAAGGAATCGAACAAAAGGTTACAGATAGTGTAATACTCATTTTAAATACTTATTTTTATTGTTGTGCTTTAAGTGAAAGTTTACAATTCAAGTTAGTCTCTCATATAAAAATTTATACATACATTGTTTTGTGACCCTACTCGCTCTCCCGATACTCTGACAGCACACTCTTCCTTTCCACCCCAGATTTCCCATGTCCATTCAACCAGCTCCTGACCCTCTCTGCCTTCTCATCTCATTTAATCTCATGAATCTACTTGAGCTAAGAAGCACACTCTTCTTGAGTATCCTTTTCTGTCCCATAGTCCAGTCTAATCTTTCTCTGAAGAGTTGGCCTCAGGAATGGTTTTAGTTTTGGGCTAAGAGAGAGCCCAGGGGCCGGGTCTTCCAGGGTCCCTCCAGGGTCCATCAAACCTTTAAGTCTGGTCTTTCTACTAGAATTTGAGTTCTGCACCCTACTTTTCTCCTGCTCCATCTGAACTCTCCGTTGTGTTCCCTGTCAGCGCGGTCATTGTGGCAGCTGGGTACCAGCTAGTTTGTCTGGTCTCAGGCTGATGAAGGCTCTGTTTTATGTGGCCCTTTCTGTCTTTTGGGCTAATACTTTAAAGGACCATTTTCTAATGCTCCCCTTGTGTTACCATTTACAGAGTTGGGATTATACCCAAACATTTATGTTTTTCCTACTATTTTTCCCAAGAATGACCTGGAGTTTACAATTTGTGGTGACAAGCAGAGGAACTGACTTCGTTTAGAGTTGAGTGGCAGGAGAAAGAGACTTCTGCCCCCAAGACAACTCCCAACTTGAACAACAAACAGCAAAAATACTCCAAGCTCAGGAAGCCTGCTGGCACAATACAAAGAGGTGAACCAGGCTCGGGCACCAACATAACTGGGTATCCCAGTGGAGGTAGCTTCCCTGGGTGGTGAGCAGCAGTCTACTTGTAAGCTGGTTCATTCCAGCATGATGACTTTAGACAAGGTTCTGGTGTCCAGGGGCCCCTGATGTCTACAGTGTAGGAAACCTGGGGAGAAGGAAATACACCTTTCCTGACAACCACCTTCAACTTCTACAGGAGGCCAAGTGAGAACTGTCCCTTCTCTTCCCCAGCCCCAGCACAGTGATCACTGAGTCCAGTGTCTGGAGGGGCCAGCAGGTAATGTCCATGAGGGAAGAAGCACGAGGGTGGGTAATATAATATAGGAAGAAGTGGGTACTATAACAAATTTGGGTTCACATGTCCTAGATAAAAGGTGGTGACCACCGCTTAGCTCCAGGTAGGAAAGCAGGCCTTGTGTTGCCAGATCTTCAGATTTTTCCAGATAAACTGGAAACCCAGATTATGGGAAAATTTACTGTTTTTAAATAGTAGCTAAAAACAAAATAAAATAAAAGCCTATGAGAGCCTAACAATTTAGGAACTTTTGGCACTTGCTGCTAGGAAGCTCAGAGTGCAATTTACAACCCACCTCCAGCAAGAAGAGACCATCTGGGTGCGCTGGACTGGGCAACACAGAAGCTAGCACTCCGCATGCATTCTGGCAAGCTACCTGCCTCCTAGCTCCATCTCGTTCTTCTCTGACGCAGTGCCCTTACTGCTTGTCAGGCTATCCTGCACACCACAGACATGCATGACCACCAGTTGTCAGAGTCAGCTCCCACTGGTGACAACCCCATGTGTGTCAGAGCAGAACTGGGCTCCATAATGTTTAGGTGCCTACTGGGTGGACTCAACCCCCAAATCATTTGCACTACCCAGTGACTCCAGGCATACATTAGCTGGTGAATCAAATTAAAAAAACATTTCTCCAATCTTCTACATTCTACCTAATTTTCTAAGCCACCCTCTATTCCTTTTCTTTTTTTAACAAGGCAGAGTATAAATGAGACATTTAAGACCTTTTTTACAATCATTGCAAGAGTGAGAGAAGTTTTTTGTAAGCATGAAATGATTGCAAAATAAAAAAGTTATTAAAAAAGAAAGAAAAATAGTGAAGGAGGAAAAACCAGCTTTCAGCGAGCCAGCCCCACATGTCAGCTTTCCGGGGTGTGTAGCGAAACCCACAGATTACAGGTGTAAGACGAGTTCAACCTGGGGCAGACTGAGGAGAAATGTAAAGAGGGAGCCGCGAGTTTGAGCACCAGTGCAGCACGTAAAACCAGAAAGCGAATTTACAACCGACGCTTTAAAAAACACTTTTCGCGCCACACATGTGCCTCTTCATTTTCCCCATCACCTGTCCGCAGGCCCTTTGCAGCCTCGCCGGCTGCCCTCGCTCTCCATCAAGCGCCCCGGAAAAATTCCTTCCCGCGGAGCTGGCCGGGCTGCGAGCAGGAAACCCAAGACCCTCCCGGGGCGGCTTCGGGGCTGCGGCCACAACTGGATGGGGTGGAGTCCGAGGGAAATCGGTCCCTCACTCTCCTCTCCCCACCGTCGCCTGGGAAAGCTCAACTTTTCCCTCCAGATCCCGACCCCTTACCTGCTGCGACCCAGCAGGCCAGGAGCGCCCCGAGGCACAGGAAGATCCGAGGCTCGGGCACCCGGCAGTCTGCGGCCATCTCGCCCCAGATCTCGGCAGGGGCCCCTCAGGAAGCACGGGCTCTGGCAGGGCTGGGTGTGCGCCCCCCAGGGCTCTGGCCCCTAGGGTACCAAGAGCTTCTCCCGGGTCCTCGAAACTGCAGAGTTGCCCCACTTTCCGCGGCTTCCAGGAAGGATGCTTGGGGTGCGCCCGATGTCCGGGTCTGGGGAGCCTCGGGTGTCAGCAGCGCTGGGCTTCCCTCCCGGCGAGGAGTCTCTCTCTGGAGAGCCAGGGCCGGGGCTGGGAGGGCGCTCCCGCCCGGTTGGCCCGCCTGCCTGCTCCCGCTCGCGGAAAACAACAGGAGCTAGGCTCTCTCCCGCCTCCCTTCCAGGCGGGAACCCAACTTCCTCTACCTTGGCTGGAGAGGAGGGCTTTACGCAAAGGACTGGCGCCCCGGCGCGCTGAGCCCAGTCCGGCCGGGCGCGGGGAGGAGCGCGGAGGCTGGTCCCTCCCCGAGCCAAATCTGCTGCCTCCGGCCGGGAGCTTTCCAGCTCCGCCTGGGACAGCCGTCTGGAGTCGCGGGGACAGCTGGGCCGGGCCAAGCCCTGCAGCTGCCGCAGGACGGCACCCCCGCCCCGGCGCTCTAGCTGCAGGAGCCGGGGGAGGAGCGTCCGGAGCCCGAGGAGCAAGCTGCCAAGATGCGGAATTCAGGGCCCCTCCTCGCTTTCCCAGCTCAGCTGTCCTAGGCATTCTCATTTGTTTTCCTGGGCGCACGGCGGTCGCCCAGGGCCGCCATCGCTGCCCTTTTTACCCTTTGCAGAACCAAAGCAAGACAAAAGCCGTTGCTGTTGAGTCGATTCCCACTCTTAGCGACCCTATAGGACAGAGTAGAACTGCCCCATAGGGTTTCCAAGGAGCGGCTGGTAAGTTCCAACTGCCGACCTTATGGTTAGCAGCCGAGCTCTTAACCACTGCGCACCAAGACTCCATTAAAGCAAGACAAGAGCGGCAGAAAAATAATCCCTTAGACCTTCCAGCCAAACGAAGCCACAAAACTCCCGTTCTCTTATTAACCACACAGTGACAGCCATGGCCAAGAGGTCAGCGAACTAGTTCCTCAGGACTTGTTTTCTCCTTTTTTTTTTTTCTCCCGCCCCTGCCGAGATTCACAGAGAGCTACGATCTCAGACTAGAAGCTATTTCCTGTCGCGCTCCCATCCCGTTTCTTGGTCCTGTGGAAGAAACACTGGACTATGATATCCTCAGCAAGAGCGGCCGCTTTCACAGCCCTGTGAGAAAACTTCAAAATGCAATTAACACAGTAAAATATTAATTGTAGACTTCAGGGGGTGGTTGTGTGTATAGGTATTTACTGTAACATTCTTTCAACTTTTCTGTATGTTTGAAAACTTTCATCATAAAATGTTGGGAAAAAAATAAAAATTGCAATTAAGAAAATTATTCCTTCTCTTGCTCCTTATTCAAATATTTCTTTCCCCAACATGCGAAACCAATTTAAAAACTGTGTTTCTCTTGATGACCGGAGCTATGAAAGAAGGCTGCAGGTTCTTCTTTTTCTCCTCTTTGCCTTGGCTCTTGGTGCTCAATAGTTTAACTCTCCAGCCAGCTTTTGATAGAATTTCCCCTCTTACTGTCTTTAGTTCTTGCTTTTCCTGTTTAGCTTGTGATCTAAGGTAAATCCTATTGTAGTCAGACCTTGTCTGTCCTTCCAGTTCCCCACTGTATGCCCAATACCTGGCACCTAGTTGCCACTCAGTACGTATTTGCTGAATATGAATGAAAAGTTACTTGGAATTGCTACTGCAGTTCCTCAGCTTTTATGATAAACGTCTTACATTCTCACTGGATGTAAACAGGGTATAAATAAAATCAATAATGGGCAAGCTTTCAGCTGAGGGTACGGATCTGGAATTTTCTGTGACCCTCATGGCGCCTGTTGTTGTTAGTTCACTGAGTCGGCTCTGACTCATGGCGACCCCACGTACAACAGAACAAAAGACTGCCCAGTTCTGCGCCATCTTCATGATCACTGGCATGCTTGAGTCCATTGTGGGTGGCCACTGTGTATTTTGAGTGTCTTCCAACCTAAGGGACTCATCTTCCAGCACTGTATCGGACAATATTCTGTTGTGATCCATAGAGTTTTCTATCCTAGTCTGGAAACTCCACTGAAACCTGTCCACCATGGGTGACCCTACTGGTATTTGAGATACTGATGGCATTGCTTCCAGCATCATAGCAACATGCAAGCAGCACAGTATGACAATGTGAAAGACAGGCTGTGGTGCCTAGCACAGGGCTGACATTTGTGCGGAGTCAATGTACAGTTCTCACCAGTTCTCCACCCTAGAAGTGCCAAGCCTCATCCAGGATGTTTTACGACATTGATAATACAACTGCACATTTGCATGAGTGGGGCCTTTTCACAACGCGGTTTTAGAAACTTAATCTCACTGGGCCCTCCCTGCAACCTCTGGACCCAAGGAACCATTCCATTTCATTTTACAGATGAGGAAACTACAGCTCAGGGATGTCTTACAGCCAGTTGGTGGTAAGACCAGGACTGGACCCCATGTCTGCCTGACTCCAAGTCCACCCAAATAAAGTTCCAATTTTGTCACATATACAAAAGCTGCCAGAGCTAAGGGGACATGAGTCTGGCTGCTTTGGGTGTCACAGGGCCAGCAGACATGGAAGTCCCCAGCCTGGGCTCAGAGCAGCCCTACCCCTCAGTGGGGGACAGAGCTGGCACAGGAAACGCCCAGGCTCTTTGGCTCCACTATGGATTCAAGGACTAGCCCTCAGCAGAAGCTGTATTAGGGCACTCTCTGGCCTGACACCCGTCCTGGTCAGGCTGCTCTGGACAGTAGAAAGTAACTTGCCTAGAACAGTGACCTGTGAGTTGGGGTTCACAGCGTGGTCCCTGGCAAGGCCTTTTAGAGCCCTAGTTTCTCTATCAGCAAAACAGAGCTAATATCTACTTCATTGGATTATTGTAAACATAAAGGGTGTTGAAGCGACTTAAGAAAGGATAATGGTCTTTACAGACCTAAGGCATCACTTTGGGGAGTATCATTTGAAATGACACCATGTTAGGGCTCCTAAATCCCACAATAATATCCTGAACCTCTGGGGGCTCAGGCACCTCCTGGCTCAGGTTGCCACATGTACCTGTTTTTGTTTACTCCTGCTGTGTGTTGAAAACTTACCCTGGCTCTGGGCTAAGTGCTTTATAGACACTAGTTCATCAGTCCTCATCACAAACTGAGTGGTAGGTGTGATGGCTCCCATTGGACAGATGGCTCAGAGAAGTTTAAGTTACATAGCAAGTAAAGGGTGGAGCCACCATTTGAACCCAGGTCTGAGGCTGCGTCATTTTGATCAGTCTTGGAGGGAGGAACAGATCCCGGGGCTCCTGCCTGGATCCACGGCCAGTGCTTCCACAGCCTGGGTCTTTGGAGGCTTCAAGTAACCTATCTTTATGCCTATTATTTCTGCCCCACTACTCCTCTTGTCACTGTCTCCTCCCTAGAGGTAATTCTGAAAGGTTTCTTAGCAACAACCTGCTTCCTGAGTCAACCTGGAGATTATCCTCCTGGGGGCTTCAGAAACAGAGTGCCAGTGGGGAAGAGCTCGGCAGGAGCCTGGTCCCTTAGATCCAGCTCTGGACACCTTACTTCACGACGTACAAGAGGTAGATGACACAAACTTCCTGGAGTCCCCTTGGAAGGGCCTGGCGCACCAAGGAGCAGAGACAGAAGCAACCTGGCTTGTTCTCTGTGGAAAAAAGTCTGTTAAGCCTTTCAATAACACCACCTTGTCCTACTTCTTCTTTGCTCTCTGCTCAGAAGAAAGGATCAGAGTGTGGATGACGTAGCAAGAAAGCTCCTGAAGTCAGGCAAAGGTCCAAGAAGAAGTTGGCAAGATGAGATGGAAAAATGGAAAATGGACAGTTGTCAAATGATCCTACTATTTTTGACCAGAGCTCAGCTCTCCTATCTGCACTAGTTACCAGGAAGGTGTAGGTAGGTGTCTCCAAGGGGCAAAGAACCACAGGACTTAGAAGGCAGATCCACCCCTAGAAGACAAAATGCTGCTTGCAAAGGGATCAGGAAAATGGCCATCCAGTTCCTTGAGAAATGGAAGATAAAGGACTAGAGTGATGTGGATAATCCACCCACCATAACATGTGAGGACAGCCCAGCAGAGTGCTGGTAAATGTTTAACTACAAACTCTAGGGGGAGTGTGAGGGAGGTGTGTGTGTGTGATTTGTAGTGTTTGCCGGTTTTCATGGTGTAAATTCTTCCACTATAGCCAATTTCAAGTTACTACTGTGGAGTTACTGAAAGATCCACACAATCAACTCCCCCAAGCCAGCGCCACTGGAACTACCCCTTTGCTCCAGTGAGAGAACTCCAAGATGAGAAACGTTTGACAGGAAATGCAGGAGCTGGATCATCCAGGAGGAGATCCGCTGGGAGCCAAACAGTTGATTCAAGTAGAAAACACTCTTTGATCACTCTCCTGTTCTTTAATCTCACACTCACCTATTGAATGTGTTTGTTGGCCAAGACTGTTATTTTCCAACTCAAAATTGGGACATGTAAGTTGATACCCACAGTGTATTTAATATCTGAGGATAGAGGGACTTAGTAAAATCAAGGACTGTCCTGACAAGGCTGGGATGAATCACTTCCCTGCAGATAACATACCTTTTTTTTTTAAGTAATATTTTCCTTTTTCCTGATTATAAACATAATATGCTCATTCTAGAAAATACAGAAAAATAGAAAGAAAATACAATTTAACCATAACCCCAACTGGAAATAATCACTGTCATCACTAGAAAATTCTAGAGATTTTTGCTGAGTTCCTATGGGTATATATACATATATATTTCTTTTTAACAAAATTCAGATGACATTGTACACTAAGTTTTGATTCCTGTTTTATCCCTTAACTTGAGTATAGTTTTTTGACCGCTAATTAGTCTTTTTAATTGAAAAGGTAATACTAAAAAATACCAAACCCACTGCTGTTGAGTTGATTCTAACTCATAGT